TCAATTGAATACTTGCGCCAGTCGGGATTCAATTATTATATTTATTTTGGAGTATCCCATAAGGGATAATCATTCAGATCAGAAGCTATTCATATGAGCTACACTTGGTCTATATTACCCAGAAGATTTGTTACTCGGGAGCATGTCACATGCGTCATCCTTTAAAGGGTGTCGAAGGCATATTTTTTGGCCTAGGCCTAATATGTCTGCAGCCCATATTTTCAGGTGTGGCCTGTCACGTTCTTTTAGGGACTTAGGCACTTTTTGCTTAGGCCAAAGTGCGCGTGATCAAGTGCCCAATATCTTAAAATCCTTTTATACCGCAGTTACTTAACTTTTTAGGAGTTGGTACAATGCATCTTAAAAGGTGTCAAACAGTAAAGCTTTATATAGCTGTCCCGCTGACTTTTTTATATATAAGTCAAGGTGCTGTTTGGGTTTTTAAGCAATTGATTGGATACAATATCATTGCTTTTCGCCACGTAAGTGTGCATTTTTATTGACCAATATTATGGCTTAGGCTGATTATATATTGTGGTCATTTTCTAGGCGGTTGGTAAATCCTTTATGAGTTTATTTACTCGGATTTTACACCACATATGCCATATATTTCCAGGTGTGGTGAAACCATGTGTCTTCTAGGGACTTAAGCACATCTGTTAAAGCAGTGTGCGCATGGCGTATGCCCAATACTTTGGAAAATTTCTTTATTCACAATATACAAGCTTCTTTATAGCTATTTTGCTATATCACTCATCATATTTTACAAAGCAGTTGGTATATCACTCGGATCATTTTATTTGGAGGATTCACACCGCATATGCTATATATTGATATCAAGTCACTTGGTTGATTACGATTATCAAAACCACTCGGTTGGTTGGATTATTTATTCCTTGACTATATGCTTGGTTTGTTCAATTAACCACATTGTCGGGGGCTACACCTATTAGGTGCATCTAGTCGGTGCACCTGACTTTATTTTCCAGCCCTCCACAGTCTTCAGATTTGGTAAAAGTACTCGGGAGACCATGACAAAGATGATTGAAGCACTCGGCTTTGGAGTAATCTGGTTCGAGAGAAGATTATCTTTTCGACTGTGAAGGTCTCAGGGGCTACTGTGGAGATTATGGGTACCCCATACCCACACGGCATGGTTATCCGACTAGTTATAGGGGATAACTTATATATATATATATATGAAATATGTAACAGATCATGACTTGGGTATTACGTTTCCCTGTATATTATGGAACGGCCTAAAGTCCTGGTTTGATAAGATTGTAAAGTAGATTTAGGAAACCGATACCGTATTGGTTAAGGTTTCTATCTTGTAACCCTGCCCCCCAACCTATATAAGGAGGGCAGGGAGCCCCTCTAGGGGCATGATGAGACAACCTGATCGTCAGATCAATACACACTCGGCGGATTCAAATCCCCAAACAGGAGTAGGGTATTACCTCTCATTGAGAGGGCCTGAACCTGTCTAAATCCTTTGTCTCCGCATCCATCCACTTTTAGGTCTCGTGCGCTACCCCGTTTTATTATTGCCGAAATCAAGTTTCGACACTTTGGTTGGTCGACCCAAATCCATAATAGTCCCGGTTACATTAAAAACCGGGACTAAAAAATTTTTAGTCTCAGTTAATAAGAGGAAGATCTTTAGTCCCGGTTATTGTTACTAACCGAGACTAAAAATCATCTTTAGTCCCGGTTGGTAACTCCAACCGGAACTAAAGTTCATTTTTAGTCCCGATTGATTCCATGTCAGGCCGTGTCAGGGCCCTAGGATCTGACTAAAAACTTATTTTTAGTCCCGGTTAGTGTTACTAACCGGGAATAAAAATCAAAACACACTATATAATCCCTAGTACCGATCCTCTTTTCCCGTCCACACAACAAACTCCTCCCTCTATCTCTTTTTTTTCCTCTCTAACTTCTTATCTCTTTCCTTATCTCTAACTCCCCTCCTCTCCTTCCTTTTTTCCTTCACCCACAGTGCAGTAGCGTGCAGGCGGCCGGCGCCGCGGCGGCGGCGGCCAGCCGGCGCGGGGGGCCGCGCGGCGGCTGCGGTGGGCGGCCGGCGCGGCGGCGCGGGGGGCCGCGCGGCGGCGACCGGCGCGGAGGGGAGGAGGGGAGGCGGCAGTAGCCGCCGGCCGGATTTTTTTTCTTTTTTTAAGATGTGAATATGTGATTGACGGAGCGTGGGGCTCCTCACCGGGAGACCACGCAGGCCCCCCTTTGCCGGTTCGGCCGGGGGCGCTAAGTGAGGTTCTTCGCCCTCGATCTGAGGAACGTCAGCGGGAGAGGAAGTGCACAAGACACGGGCGACGTAGACAGGTTCGGGCCGCTGAGAAGCGTAACACCCTACTCCTGTGTTCTGGTGGATCTGTGTGTGAAGGAATACAAAGAACCGGAGAGCGAGAGTGAGTCCAGGCTCTAGAACCCCTTCCCCAGAGTCCCCAAAAAAACCCCCTTTCTCCTAGGCCTGGGCCTCCTTTTTATCTGGTCAGGGGTCAACACATGGGCCTCTAGCTGCCTAAGAAGGGAAACACGCTTTTTACAATGAGGGCTAGTCTACAGTCGGAAATGACCTCTGACAAGCAGAGCACACGCCTCCTGCCCCGCTCGCCCGCTTTTCCGGTGGACGCCCATTTCAACCTTCATTTAATGGCCATCGACTTCCTTGCCATACTTGCGCTGAAGCCTGGAATGGATCTGACCGGGACTGACATACCAACTCCAGGAGTTAGCACGCCGGCTCCGGCTAGGGACGAGAGCCAGGAAGCTCTCATCATTCCGACGGGACGGGGCGAGGCGTGTGACAGGCCGCCTGTTGCCACCTAACCCGCGATCTGACCGGTCTGTGACCGGTCACACACCGCGACCGGTCACGGACCGGATAAGCGTGCGCTGCGCCGCATTAAATGCGGCGTGGCGCGCTCGTCCAACCTGCTATAAATGCGGTTAGGTGAGCCCCGCTGTGCTCACCTAACCCACACACGTGGCGCCAAAACCACAGGGGGTCGGGGCGCCTCAGCCCTCGGGGCCGAAACGGGGGCGCCCCAGCCCTCGGGGCCGAAACGGGAGCGGCCCGACCCCTCGGGAAGACAGAGGGAGGGGTGGCCACGTCACCCTCGGGCCCGACCCCCTCGAGGGGGTCAGGCCACGTGGGTGACCGCTGCTACCCAAGCCTCTAATCACGATACCCCCGGCCCCATGTCACCGACAGTGATGTATTTTTGTGTGAGATGTGAATCTGTGATGAATTTTTTAGAACCCTGTGATGTAATTTTTTTAAGAGTTTGTGATGTATTTGGAGATGATTTGTTTGAGGATTTGAGGATTTGGAGATGTTCTGAGATATGTGATGATTTGGATATGGGAGGGGATGGTGTGAAATCAATATTCAATATTAAAAACATAAAAAAAAGAAAAAATATCTTTAGTCCCGGTTGATGTCTAAAGATCGATTTTTAGTCCCTGTTATTTGAACCGGGACTAAATATAGCGATCTTTAGTTCCGGATTCGTAGTCCCGGTTAGAAAACCGGGACTACAGGGGGTTACGAACCGGGATAAAAAGCACTTCTCCACCAGTGACTGCATACGGTGCCGACGTCCTCACTGAGCTGTCGTCGTCGTCGTCGATGATAAACAGATAGGGCAGAGTGGACAACTTCTGGTTTAACGTCGACACGGCGGCCTACTTCGCCGATGAGCAGCAATTCAAGGTGGCGAGGATTGCTTGCGTTAAAAAAAATCCTTTTATAAGCCCAAGGTATATCCTTTAAATTGCTGTTGAGTTAATAATAACATTAATTAATCTTTGTTTAGTACTTCTAGTAACTATTATAAGCCGCTTTAACATTTTTTTTAAAGTCAAACTCTTTTAACTTTAACCAAATTTATAGAAAAATATAGTAACTTTTTCAACACGAAACAAACATACTATCAAAATATATTAAATATTAGTTTTACTTACACTAATTTGATCTTATAAATATTGTTAAATTGTTCTATGAACATTGTTAAATTGTTCTATGAACATAGTCAAACTTAAATAAGTATGATTAGAAAAAAGTCAAAGTGCCTTATAATATGGAACGGGGGTGGTCTTGTTATACAAAATTTATGTACCTTTGCAGTACAATAAACGTCATTACTGCACATCCTTTACAAGATAAATAAAATAAAATTTCTGAACCTTTAATTTACAATTTACAAATACGCAAAGGTAATCTAATTTATATATGCGTGGCCAAACTTCCTTTCTATGTTTGTAGGAGTGGTGGTATTTCCTACTCGTCTATGTTCATTTTATGCTTGCGGGAGAAGCCATAGGCGCGACGTGTGCAGGAAGCACGAGTCATACGTGGCTGAAAGTGATAATCAATCTCGTGTCAACAAGTGTTGCACTGTTGCTTGCTAGTTATATTTGGTTTATGGCACGATGTTCAATTGAAGATGTAAAATCATGAGTATATCTAGCTGGAAAAAAATATTTTACTATTGACAATATTGTTAGAAATTAGTTTCGCACACGTTATAGGGTTGTCCATGCAGGAGGAAACGAGTCATATATGGAGGTCGTGAGAAGGTGAAGGAACAAGAACAACTCCGGTGCGTGTTTTGATCAGTTGTGTCTTTCTGTTTGCAAATTTGCAGCCTGAATTTTCTCTCATACAACAATCAGATTTTCACTAATAATGACAGAAAAAAATGTAGAGATTTTGATCATGAATGATTATATGGCAATGATGTGCGTCATATACATACTTGGCATGACAAAATTGGATGCGTATGTTCGTTTCAAAAGATAAGAACATGAATTAGATCTTTTACATGGTTGCTTGTGTTCCTACAAGCTAGGCAGGGCATGGCTTGCAATAGACCAATAGACAATAGTTGATTCAGGTTTAAGACTTGCAATTTCAGTGGTAACTGAAGGTTGTTGAATCCCATCAGAAGTACAAAAATATAATACGTTTTCTTTGTATCTTTTCCATTAACTGGTTGGATCATTAGTTCATCACCAGCAAGGGATACATCGATGGGATAATACGTTTTCTGTTCTACTTTTTACAGAGGTTAGCTTTACAAGAACTGCACCATTCTGTGGTGGTTATTGGTTCAGCTACACAAATAATAACTGATTGGTTCAACACAATGATCACTCGAATTAACCACTCTCGTCAGCTGTTATTCCTAGGCACAAGGTGGAGAGGAGAAAAAAAAAAACACCATTCCATTCTATGGTGTGACACAGGAGTCTTTGGGGAATCTACAACAAGCGACAAGTTATTATCTAGTAGAAGCAGCGAGGCACAGTTTTGATTTTACTATGATATGAGAATCATATAATGTTTTCAGTTGGGTCTTAATCTTATCAACAATGTTACCACCAAAGGCGAGTTTCCGGTTGACAGAAGACACCAGAAACTGACATATCCCCTTCACTGCTATATACCTAGATGCCGCTTCTCCAACGCAAAAATGGCCAGTCTTTTCCTCACTTGTATTATTTTTTTCCTGTTATCATAATAAGCAATCATCAAATGCAATTCATACATTTTTTCAGAGCAACAAATAGAACCAACAACGGGAAATGTCTTCACTTTGTCATCCTAGAACTAGAATGGTTCCAAAACGGTTGATAGGTACTCCCTCCGTTTCACAATGTAAGTCATTCTAGCATTTCCCACATTCATATTAATGTTAATGAATCTAGACATATATATCTATCTAGATTCATTAACATCGATATGAATGTGAGAAATGCTAGAATGACTTACATTGTGAAACGGAGGAAGTAGTTGTCTTATCTTTCCTCAAATTCATCTGTTATTGTAGTGCAGCTCAAATAAATTGTCAAACAATCATGAAAACATTTGTACAACTTCATATTCACATAATTCCTGATGTGGTTAAGGCTAGTAAAATGGCTAAGTAGAATTGCTTTCCAGCATACTCTAAATTGCAACACATAAAAATTCATAATATGAATTTGCATTTGAGTAAACAGACTCCTGTAGCCGACATTCCAAAAAATGCCAAATTCAAGAGAATCGGAAAAAAAAAAGGAAAGAAGAGGAAGGGAATAAAGTAGATTTTCTAAGGTACGCCAAAAGTCAAACATCAATGCAGAAAAGTATGTACTGAATATGAATCAAAATTACCTCTACTGAACCATGATTTCCGAACTACTTGCCGGATGTGGCGCTCATGTTTCTCTAATAGTTCATCAACCTTGTGTGACTGAGATAACAAAGGGCCAGAATATTCAACCCTCTCTCCTTGATCATGATCACCCTAAAGGTTTAAACAACACACTGTTTACAACTTTGCTAACACCAATGAAGCAGAAACTATCAAATATGTAAATGCTTCACCTTGATGCTGTTTTTTGACGAGAGGGTATCCCCAAGATACATTGCATTAGAAAAATTCTGAGAGTGGTAAGTGTCGTAAGAATCAAAGGAATCTGGACGTCCTAACTGTGACCATTTCTTCAGAACGGCACGCTTTGCTGCATCATGAGGCTCTCGAACTTTGGAGTTGGCACGTGCTATATGCATGTCTCTGTTAGGTTGTTCCTTCAAGCCGAGGTTCTGGTTCTCTTTAGCTGGCATCTTATTGTCCTGATCTAACTCAGCAGTAAATTGGCCCCTTGAACTAGATTTGGTCCGAGATCTAGCGAATGAACGATCTTCTGGTGGTTTTTTAGCCCAAGCAAAGCCACTAGATGATGAAACAATCAATGGTCCAGAGAAAGGGATCTCTTCTCGTGAATCATTCTTAACATGGCGAGACCTTTCTTTGACTTGGGCCACTGAAACTGGCTGTATGTCTGAAAATAACCTAGCATCACCATTTACCTTTGTACGATCCAATATTGAGTTGTCCTTGGTTCCATTTGCTTTAGTTTTGGACTCCTGAACCAAGAAAGGAAGCCAGAAGAGATTTAATGAATAATAATGGCAGCAATTAAAAATCTTCAACCAGACTGCCAAGTTGGCGCATGCCCCTGGTTGGCTCATACAAGAAAAAAAATCTACCTCTTTGCCATCAGTTTGCTTATTAACTGTAGTTGTTTCTCTTGCAGCTCTGCTGAGCCTTGATTTCCTTGATGCTTCTGGCCCATGACCTCTGCTAGCCTTTCGTCTGGAACATAAAAGCAAAAAATAAGATTATTATGCAGTGCACAAACAAGCAGTGAACTTCCGGCTATCATTTGTATTGATACCAACTTAATTATACACTGTTGGGAGCTCCTCTCTACAAAACATTTTCAAGTTATGAAAATAATACTTGAACTAAGTGATTCTAAGTTTCTAATTCCTTTCCATATTAAACAATGATTCCACATTTAACACACCCACCTGTGTGAATCTTCTCGTAATTTTGCATCCATCTCCTTGTTGGGTGCATACTTCGGCAGGCTTGAGGGATCACATGCGTAAGGCTTTGTCTTGAAAAACTGTTTCAGTACACAACAAGGTCATGCATTTTTTAGCAGTTTGATTCAATATGATCATTTAAACTTTCACAATACATACAAAAATGATTAATGACCATGTTTCATTACACATGTTATGTGTACTGTGTAGTAGTCAATTGGAAGTTTGAAAGAGTTACCATGAACATGCCAGGCCTCTGCACCTGAGTTCTTTGCTAATTCTTAGTGGTGAGACAATGGACAACAGTACAACACATTGGTACTATATGTCAGGGACAAGAGCACTTACTATAGCCCACACTAAAATGAGAACTTATAGCCAAACTAAATGCTAGTTATACTGACAATAACTTAGTAATGCTACAATAGCTTGAACATCTTCTCTACACTTGCAATTTCATAGAAGTAGGGAGTGTAGAATAGTATTACATGGTGATGCATAGCAAAATAAACTGGCAGGATATAGTTTCAGCAATAAATTTACAACGAACCAACAATAGAAAGACTGACTTCCAAATATATGACCTTTTTATCCTTAAATAATACAATACTTATATAGGATACCAGATGGTCCAATCTTACCTCAGATGTAAGAGCAGCAGATGCAGTACCACGTTTGTAGGGCTCCACTGATAGAAGAGTTTCTAGTAATCTCAATGCATTTGCTGGCATTTCTTTAAAAACATCTTGAAGGGTACTTTGATAAGGACAATGTGGTTTGAATATTGTCGCATGAGGCAACTTTGACTTCTTCCAGTACTCATCAGCAGGGGAACCACATAGCTTAAAAATCTTATGCAGTTGCTCCACCTGTAAAAACCAAGAGATGTGAGACTATATGCAGCATGATATTACTCAGGGATTTTGATAACTAGGTTATATAGGGTTGCATAACTAAAGCATAAAACAAGCTGCACTAACAGAAAATAGCCCATTGAAATTATAGCCAGAAACACTTTTATAGCATCTATGAATGCCAGCAGTTGTCAATACATTCCCCTATTTCTCATCCTCATGTTGAACATACCAGTCAAAAGATGTCCAGTACAGAATATTACGTTAATTTATAATCTCAATATCCAGTATTTAGCACTTGACATAATCATGATGCTCAAACAAGGCATCAACGGTGCCCTAACAGGCTGAAAAGTCAGCTGCTTGCAAAGAAATCAATTCATACATAAAATATACGGGAGCATGAAGTTTAAATCTCAATGGCCTTTATAGCATAATACATTTTGTTACCTATGGACTCTAGAAGTTAATACAACTCAAATAATTACCTCAGTTCTTCCCTGCAGGATAGGTTTCCCACGGAACATTTCAGCAAATACACACCCAGCACTCCACAAATCAACAGCTGCATCATAGTGAGTTGAACCTAGTAGCAGTTCAGGTGGTCGATACCACAGAGTAACGACACGGCTGGTCAGCGGATGGTTTTTGTTGGGGTCAAAGTAATTAGCAAGGCCAAAATCAGCTATTTTTAGAACCCCTTCATTATTCACAAGGAGATTGGCACCCTTGATGTCGCGATGTACAATACGACGTGAATGGCAATGCTCCAGTCCTGACAGTAACTGGTTCATGTAGCACTTGACCTGCAATAGGAGACAACCAGAGAAAAAGTCAGGTCAGCACAATGAATGCCAATCTGTTATGAAGGGATTCTCAGTAAGCACAGTTTAGTCAACAAGGACATACCTGTGCTTCACTAAACTTGATGTCAGGGGAGGAAGAAAGTCCAGCAAGATCATGCTCCATGTATTCAAATACTAGATAGAGACTGCATGATAGCCGAGAAGTAATCAAACCTTCTAGCTTCATAACATTTGGATGATCGAGCCTTCTCAATATTTGTATCTCCCTTGCCATGAATCTAACACTTTCTGGCTCAAAATTGTCAAACCGCACCTTCTTCAAGGCGACAATCTTTCCAGTATCAAGTTCCCGTGCCCTAAATACACTGCTATAGGTGCCTTGCCCAACCTACACATACAGTGCAAGAAAGAGTATTGTCAGACCCTAAGGAGAGCATACAGCTAAAGAAATTGAACTTGCATAACTAGAAAGGGAAAAAAAACTCAAACACAAAGTGTGCATAACAAGACATACAATATTTTTTTGGCAAATTCATAGCTGCATACAAGGGTGAATGGTTAGTTTACAAATTATGCATGTATCCCACTCATTCAGTGGCCATGTAAACATAAACTGGTACAATAGCAATCCTGTTCTTCTCCCAGTTAGAATTGCCCATGATGATGATCAGATAGACGAAATGATACAGCAAGATTTAATTTCCAACCAGGAAACCGTATGAACAACAGAGAAAACTAAAATTTGTGCTGCTTCAAAGGAGGAGGCACCAAACCCCCCAAATTCTCCCCTTTATCCTCTTGATAATTGCATATTAGTACTAGTTTATTCGGCATGTCATAATCCATCACCAAACAAAGTACTTCCAACTAATACGCTGCAGTATGAGATTCTTGCAAGATGCCAACCAATCCACAGAAATTTAACAAGCTTAACAGCCATCCTCCATCTAAAAATTGACACGCCTGAAAAAAATTAAAAGAATTGCAACGGAAAATGACCGACGAGCTATTGGAATTGAATCCAAGTACCTTCTCCAGCTTCTCGAAGGAGTCAGCCTTGAGAGGGATCCACCCCTGGATGGCCTCCCCGGCGACGGCGCTGAGCCACGGCGGCCACCCGGCGGCCACCTGCTCCCCCTCCAGGCTCCGGCGGAGGCTCCGCAGCCGGAAGCTCCGGGACGCGGTCGCCGCCGCGATGACGGCCTTCTCCGACGGCTCCTCCCCCGCCGCCGCCACCGCCGCCTCGTCCCTCTTCTTCTCCGACCTCCTACCCGCCGCCGCAGCCGAGGAGCAGCGCAGGGAGGACGCGGTGACGGACACCACCGTCGCCGCGGCCTCCGGCGCCCGCGGCAGGCTCCTCTCCCGCAGCGCCCCCGACGAGTCGGCCGCCGGCGTCACCGACACCGCGTTCTTCGACGCGACGCAGCCCATCGCGGCGGCGCACCACCACCACCACCACCAAAGCTCTCACTCCGCCATTGGACTCAGGTCTCCGTCTCCGTCTCCGTCTCCCTCTCCTTCGTCGTCACGGGGCAAGCCGAGCACGGCGGAGGTCAAGCACGAGCAGCAGCAGTCGACGAGATTGACCTGAAGACCAAAAATAAATGGCGCGATTTAGACGCGAGACGCCATCAGCGAAGCCGTGAAGAACACGACGCGACCACCACCACCACCACCACCGCCACCACCGGCGTCGGCAGATCGAGACGGCGACACTCTCCTCCTCCTCGTCGTCGCCAGCGAGCGCACGCGGCGGAGCCGTGATCGCGAGACACCCGTGGTGGTGGTGGTGGTGACAGCAATCGAAAAAGAAAAAAAAAACCAAAAAAAAAAGAGAGACAAAACCCACGACCTTTCAGCACGCCGGAGCGGCGGGGAGAGATGAAGAGAGCGCCACCGAATTCGGCCGGAGCGGCGGCGGCGGCGCCGGGAAGCGGGAGCTCGTCTCGTCGGAGCGTGGCCGGAGGATTTTCGCAGGTGAGAATCGCGTTATCGCGCGGCGCTTTAAAATGGTCCACTCCAAACGCGATTTTTTTTTTCGCGAACCCCCGCCTTTTTTTTATTCTTTTTTTTATCTCCTTTTCTCCTCTTTTTTTTTCGTTTGCTCGCGGCGGCGGCTCAAGCTAGCGCGGTGCGGTTCTTGTATAGCGAGCGGGATTAGCGGGGGGTGGGGTGGGGCCCACGGGTCAGGGTGGGGACAGCGACTTTTTTTTAAGTTTTGTGCTTTATTACTTCTTTTTTTCACTTTTAACCTCGGATTAGTCCGTTATTTGCTTTATTACGACTTTCGTATATGGATTATGTAGTAGGTACTCCGGTCCGTACTTGCTTTTGATAGTAGTACTACCTGACTTTTTGGTGGATTTTTCACCTCTAGCAAAAGAGAGTTTTGAAAAATACTACTGAATCTCAATCCTTAGTGGATCTGTTTTTTCAATCTTTAGTGGATTTTTTTTCTTGTGGGAATGACAATGGAAAATATAAGATACTCCCTCCGTCCTAAAATAAGTGCAGTTATAGCACTGTTCATATCTAACGTTTGACCGTTCGTCTTATTTGGAAAAAAAATATGATTAGTATTTTTATTGCTTTACATGATAAAACATGAGTAGTACTTTATGTGTGACTAATTTTTTTTAATTTTTTCATAAATTTTTTAAATAAGACGGACGGTCAAAACGCTAAACGCGGATATCTATGCTGCATTTATTTTGAGACGGAGGTAGTATTTTTCTTTGTAAAAACATGGACCATAAATTCTAGAAATATCTTTTTTTCAAAAGTTCAGGGAAGAATTGACTTAGAAACGGAAGAGAAGCTGAATCCGACCATCCCAATTCAGGAAGAAGGATGAACAAGTGTTGAGAAAAGAAGTTATGAATGAAACTGTTTTTTAACGATTTATTTGAGGGTACATATGAATGAGTTAGGTTGATAGGTTAAATTTAAAAAGGTTTATAAAAATGCTAATGAAAAACTTTTTGTAAGAATAAAAAATATGTTTTGAGGGTTATATTTTGTAAAATATGGACCATCGAGCGAAACGAGCGTAGCTCAACTGGTTATATTCTTTGAGATAAAACCAGTTCACTTGGGTTGAATTTCTAGATTTAACACATGTGTTTGCATTAACGATTAATTATTTTTTCGTTGGTAGGCAACGTACCCATCGACAGTTAAGGTGAGTGTATGCGTATTCTATATCAGTTAGAGTGAGTGTACGCGTATTCTGCATTTGTAGTGTGTTTAATAAAAATGGACTATCGATTCTAGACTACAAAAATATCATTTTTTTTTTGGAAAGTTCTGAAAGAATTGACCTTTGATACTGTGAAAGAAAGGCTGAATGAAAGTTCAGAACGCGATATCTCCGACATCGAATCGCTGAAATTCGTTTGAAATTCATGAATCTTGTTCGACCGTCGAATTCTACCAAAACATACCTAATCCGAGTGAATTTGACGAAATCAAGCCAGATCGAAAACCACGAATTTTGATCGGCTCTCGTCGTATTAATTTTTCAAACCCTGGTGTACCCTAATGGAACAGTTAAAAAGAAAGTATTATCTCTTTACCAACTTCACCTCACCAAACTTTCCTTTCTCCCCGACGCAGAAAGGAGACGACGACGCCGACGAGAGCAACGTGTGAAAGGGACACGATATCGTGGAGCCACCTCTCGTGAAACGGCAGTCGGTTAGTCAAACCATGCGTACTTGCACACACTGCAGCGTTTGCAGTGGACAAAACGGCAACGAAATTTTCAGTTCTTGACGACTCGGTTCGATTCGATTCGGTTCGGCCCGACAAATAATTTTTAGGCAGAAGAAATTTCTCGCCATCTATCTTGTCTGAATGTGCTCGCTGTGCTTGCTCTGCATTGTTTGACTCCTGTTCCTCCATATTTTTGTTGCCTTCTTACTAGTATCTCCGTAGAAAAAAAAAGATTAAGTATAGCCTACTAAAATGAGACAAGTTATTAGCGTATGATTTATTAAGTTAAAAAAATATATTTAATATTTTAGAGTGATTTTTATATAGAAAATTTTTATACGGAACACACTGTTCAGCAGTTTGAAAAACGTGATAATAAAAATCGAAGTAAAATCTACATCTTAATTAAAAACGAACGGAGCCATCCATAAAAATGAAACTTATGAGGAGGAATTTGAGAATTACACAGTACAAAGCAGACACTCACAACGTACGCGCACTCATTCCTATGTACACAAACCCTATCCTTATGAGCATCTTCGAAGACTAGGCCCCCAGATTGACGAAGTCACCACAGGCGCCTCGCTCATTCCTATGTACACAAACAAACCCTATCCTTATGAGCATCTTCGAAGACTAGGCCCCAGATTGACGAAGTCACCACAGGCGCCTCGCTGTCGACGGGTACGTCGCCTACCATTGAAAGCACAACGTCGTTAAAACCAGGAAAATTCGATCCTATGGGGAGTCGAACCCAGGACCTCAGATGCTACTGAGGCTCTTGTAACCACTAGGTTACATACCCTTTCGCTATGAGGAAGAATTTGAAAAGTACTTGTTTAATTCATCTTCAGAAAATTGTTTCTTTTTTAACTAGGATGCACTAGGGAATATGAATATGCATAGCTAACCTTTTAAGAAAGATTGATGGTTTCGAGCTCCCTCATATAGAGATTCCTTCTCCCTGATTACTGTTAATCATTGCCAGTTTCGTCTGAAATTGGGGCTTGATTGGATTGTTCTCGCATAAATATTCTCTCGAATCTCTTGCCATCCGGAACAAGCTTTGGAACTCTGGAGCTTGTTCATACCTGGGCGCTGTGCAGCTGTGCTTAATCTGCGTCCTCTCAGGTTAAGATAATACTAATACCAACTTGGCGCTAAATTACACAGGTTTTATGGGGGGACCCAATTTGTAATCTTGATTGGTTTATGTGTGTCAATGTGTCATCGGCTTCAGTAAAGACAGACATGTTCTCTTCAAATCCTTTTGTCTTTTGCAGGGTAATGTCATGGTCTTAGTACTAGTGTTTGGCCTTTAAAGGTTTAATCTGTTATAAACATAAAGAGATTGATTGTTCATTTTCTTCCCGTGACCGTCTACTGTAGGCTGAAGTAAACATGATCAACTAGACGTCCAGAAAACACGACACCTGCTTGATACAGATTATCGAGGGAAATATCGTCACGGATTATCTACTTGGTTATATAAATAAATTATAAATATTTTATAAGAAATAAGTTTAACAAATAGCTTGTGTAAGTAATATAGTAGAAAAACATTATTTCCGAGAAAACATATTTTTTAAACATGGAACAAATAACCCGTTTCAATAACTCAGTGAATAAACTAAAGAGAACAGGGCCACTCACTACTGTTCTTCAGTCTTCAGGGCTGCTACTAATTTCAGCACATCTTTTTAACGGATGATTAATTTCTGCGTATCTTTTTCAGAGGAGTTGATGAAATACTGCACAAATTAATAGTGCATGACTAACATTTTGGCAGCCTATGGTAAGCTACTATATGGCCTATTGGTGCATTTCCAACTGCCCTGTCCAAACAATGAATGAATCCTGACTTGGAACTGTCCCACTGATATCTCTATCTATATTCTGGTCAACACAAGATTTGGGAAAAATAATAGGCTAGCTATAGTCAGACTTAGTCAGCTAATGAAGATTAGGTTGAAGACTACTACTTGACACCCTCACTCTAGAAAAAAAATAAGGTTAATTACCCTAACTGCTCCTAATCAGTTAACATATTTGTATATTGTCGCAGTTGTGCTGTGACTTTCCTGCGTCTACCTTACTGAAAGATGCAGGTGAACACTGAACACAGCTAGTGTACTCTGGAAGAAAATTATTTAAGGTTTTAAAATCTGATTCGACCAATCACTCCATTTGTGACAATTCAAACTTGACACTCGTAGCCATTTGCCAAATATATCAAATTATCAATCAGAAGCAATGCTATTATCAAAGTTTGGTATGCCAAAAGCTGTAGCATGTTTTTGTCAGTATTTTCTCTGTTTGCTAGTAGTAGTTTGCTGCTCAGAGAAGTCAAATTAGGTCATGCAGAGACAGACATTTGCATTGTCTTTTCTTCCCTCCTTTTTCTAGGTGTAGGTGTTTTGTTTAATTAATTGTTGTCAAAACTGTGTACAGTATCGAGAGACTCGAGTAGAGTAATATTAGAATGAGCAACCTGGCAAGAATTTTTAATAAAAAAAATTTGCAAAATTTTTAAACAAAAAAGTGGATTTTGGCTGGCCTAATAGTCTGCAATTAAGAATTCCGTAGGACGTGTGCGCATGTGATGAGCCGTCACAAAGTGGATTCGTTGTTGACAAGGAATGGTTGGGCAGCAAAATCCATTGCGTGTGTGATAAACTAAAGCAAGAGAATTATTAATCTAGTACAATTTTTTTGGAGAAAAATCTAGTGCAATTAAAGGTTAACAGTATTCCCATATCATTTGGTATGCTAAACAGATCAGGGGGAATAACAGTGTTTGATTAAAAACTGATGGAATCTGACCTTGGAACTATTCCTTGATAATGCTTGGAACAAGTCTAAATTCTGATAACAAATACTACTAGCTATTTATGTATCTTTGATGTAAACCCAGCAATAGTATTTCATATAAATCCAACAACAGACAGTTATGAAATACTATTTATGTGATAAGATGATAGATTATTTGATTTCGTGATAATATTTCGATGGTACAATCGAATAATTTAACTATTACGAAGCTGGTTCATTGTTTCAAAATACTGTTCTATATATAAAAAAAATCTTAGTAGGTTAGTAAACGTGTCTGTTGTAATAATCTATAATAGTATGTGATAAAGAAAAGAACAGGTCGAAATATATGCCACATGCAATGGATATGTCTGAATTGATATTTTCCAAGCACTATATGCTAAATGCCCAATGTCTGGTGAGAAAATTTCAGGAGAAAACTATATGGTCCAATACTCATATTGAACGTGACGAAAGTGAGACATTGCTATATTGGTGGATCAGGCGGACATCTCAAGGAGGAAAAATAAAACTAAAACGCTTAAATCAGTTCACATGCTGGTGACTTGGGAAATATGGTGCGAA